GGGGGAAGCTGAACTCAGGGATCGCACTGGAGGAATAAATTACTGTGGTCAGAGAGACAACGAGAGTGTAAGGTGGAGCAGTTTCCTGTAAGATAAATCTAAGTTTCTTAGACACTTAAGGATGTGGAAAGGAACTGAGAATCAGGAAGGCCTGAAGCATAGGCACAGTGGTTTAGGAGCGAGATGGCATGATACTTGGAAGGGGACGCTAAGGAGGATGAGTTCTTAGTAATTTTCTATTAGTAAACTTTCCTACTGAATTTTAACATATCACAGAGAAGCATATGAGACTTGTCTAAAGCTTTATGAGTTTCTGTACCCATATTTTTCTCAGAAATTATCAGTGTCCCAGAAACCTACGTTGCTCTACATTCCAGTTATTAACTCTGTTGCCCTGGGTAACTACCACTCTAATGTCTTTCATTATAGATTAGTCTGGCAGTTATTTGAGCTTTGAAACTGTATCATGTAGTGTTTTGTGTTTGGCTTTCTTGTGCTTAACATTGTGTCTGTGCCACAGCATGTGTGTGTGTGTGTGTGTGTGTGTGTGTGTGTTTGTGTGTGTGTGTGTGTGGCGGTCAGAGCACAACTTGCAGGAGTCTGTTCTCTCCTTCCACCATATGGGTCCTGGGGATCAAACTCAGGTCATCAGGCTTGGAAGCAAGTGTCTTTATCCATTGAACCATCTCAGCAGCCCCGCTGTAGTTATTCTAAAAGGTGTGTAATTGTTTTCTAAAGTAAGTTGCTTCAATGTTCAAATTATGATGCAAAACAGAACTGCAGTGGGCTATGGAATCAAATTGCCTGGTTCCATTCCTGACTTGGCCACTAGATTGCCTGATAATCAAAGGAAATTAATGTAATTCACTAAGTGCCAAAGAATCATCTGTGAAATGAGGATAATGCATTATAGGATTGTTGTGAGGAATAAATGAATATGTGCGTTTACCTTTGTGTATGTGTGAAATTCCTTTTACAAAGGATTTTATGAAGGGTTTGGCTCAATGTCTGGCACATAGTAAGTCCTTACTGTAAACTGTACTTATTCCTCCTGTTTGTGGACCTGCAATTATGTCTAAAAACACTGGATGACCAGCCCACACATATTCTTTCAGTCATGTGTGATTTGAACCTGCTGATTCCCAACTTCCCTTCAACCCATCTTATCCCTTCCTCTTAACCACAATGTAAGAGTTGGTTCATTAGAGAACTTAGCATGCACAGGCCATGGTTTCCATCACTAACACTACACAAAAGAATAAAGAGAGAAGAAGTCCCATGATTTAAAGAAATGTTCCATAAGAGGACTCAGTCAGTGGCTGGACAGCGGGGCAGATGGAAAGAGCATTTTTAGTATCCACTTTTCTCATTTGAAGATTTCAGACTGTTGTGGAGGTGGCGTGGGGCAGGAAATACAAATCTACTCACAGCTGCTACTCAAAATATTAGCCATGTAACCAGGAAAGAATTGAATTTGGCTCACATTAAAATCCCAAAGCTCTTCATTGCCACCATAATCATTACTGTATCAATTAAGATTCACCTGGGTGTCCACAATGTGGTTGGCACTACATCAAGGAAGGAAGTGGGTGATTACAGGAATGGTTTCAACCATTTTGCTTGTGTTTGACAGTGTCCTAAATGGATGTAAAAGAACAATACAAATCATTAAAATTTTGTCATTCAGCAGTATTCAGATTATAAAACCTTAGAAGTAGAAATGGATCCAACACTTCTATTGCAGAGTGTCTTCATGTTGAGGTGGATAAGACTCTGCTGCAGGAAGACCAGTGTCATACAACTGATGCATAAGTGACAACCAGTGTGTTTAAAGGTTATATACCTAGGAATTCACAGGGAAGTTAAGGCTCCCCTATCTGCACCTCCCCTTACTGCCCCCCTGCCCAATTTAATGTACCCTATGATATATGTATGTATATATATATATATGCATATGTTTAAAGACTTCTAGAGTCAAATTTGTATCCCCCAGTATCCTTCAGTCCTTTTGAATGGTTGTCTTGGAAGATTAGATAAGCTTCTGCTTGTTCTCTCTCTCTCTCTTGTTAGTCTTCATCAGTAATAGTGAGGGAAGGTGTGGATGGTGTTGGAGGGATGCTCTGGCTTATTTCCAGAGGGACATGAACAATTCTGGAATTCCATGGAAGTAGTCCATTAGGGCCTTTCTGCAGAACTTTGAAGAGCTATTCCATGAGCAGCCAGCAGAGGGGGTGCAGAGCATTAGTTTGCTAATTCTTACCATGTTACTCTCATTCTGCTGTATTTTCTCCCAAGTCTTTTATACAATTCTTGACAATTGTGAGGAGAAGAATGATGCTTTCCAGCACATTTGGGCAGGGAAGAGAATGTGTCTACCATTGAGGTTTTATTTAACTCAGAGTGGTTGGTAAGCTGGAAAATGAGCTAGGTTAGATAGCCCTTTAGCAGAGTGGGAATGTCTATTTCACATGCTTTTCTCTATAGTATTATATTAATTAAATGATTTGGGGCCTGGGGGGTGTAGCTTAGTGGTAGAGCACTTGCCTTTCATGCATCAGGCCTTTGCCTTTCATGCATCAGGTGCTGGGTTTGATCTCCAGTACTCCCCCAAAGACTAGTTAAATGATTCTAAATGTTTAGAAATGTTTCATTCAATGGGATCAAATTAGTTAAATACATCATCCCACCTCTAATAATTAATTCTAAGAAAAAGTAACACCAACAGTAAAAATTGTCTCATTCCTTGATTTTTATGTGTGTGGAACAGAGTAAATGTGTATTGACTCCAAAAAATGTTTAAAATGATGGATTTCTCTAGTTACAGTTTTAGGATAAAATTCAAGTGTTCCCACCGTGAACAAAATTCCCAGAAAAACTGCATCTTAAAATTGAACATTCTACAAAGGCTGATCAACTGATTAGAACTTCAGTGATTGTGGAAAGTTTGGAATGTTGCAGGTCCAGAGATTAATTACCATTTTTTTACCTTGGGCCATCTTCAGTCCTCTCAGTAGCCACTCCTTGCCCACCTTTGTTTCTGACTTAATATCCTGTGACTAACAGATAAAAACATTTTGGAATGTATTAACTTAGCAGACTACCAGCTTCCACCAACCAGAAGACTGAGTGTTGTCAGATAACATCTGAGGCCTATGGCTGAGAGTTCTCTTTTGCTGTATCGTTCTATGTAATGTTTCTACCAATGTATTTGAAAAGTGTCTTGACTTATGACTTTCCTTTGTTCTGTTACTATAAAAACTTAATGAAATTGTTACCGTGTGACCTTGTCCCAAAAAAACCAAAAAAAAAAAAAAAACCATTAATAATTTTTATTTTATACGTATAAGTGTATTGTCAGCATGTATATAAAGTGCACCCATGTCATGCAGTGCCACAGAGGTCAGAGGAAGGTATTAGATTCCCCTGGAACTGGAGTACAGATAGTTGTTAGCCACCATGTGTGTGCTGGGAATCAAAACCGTGTCTTCTGCAAGAGCATCTCTCCAGTCCTGAAAAACTGCACCTTAAAATTGAACATTCTACAAAGGCTGATCAACTGATTAGAACTTCAGTGATTGTGGAAAGTTTGGAATGTTGCAGGTCCAGAGATTAATTACCATTTTTTTACCTTGGGCCATCTTCAGTCCTCTCAGTAGCCACTCCTTGCCCACCTTTGTTTCTGACTTAATATCCTGTGACTAACAGATAAAAACATTTTGGAATGTATTAACTTAGCAGACCACCAGCTTCCACCAACCAGAAGACTGAGTGTTGTCAGATAACATCTGAGGCCTATGGCTGAGAGTTCTCTTTTGCTGTATCGTTCTATGTAATGTTTCTACCAATGTATTTGAAAAGTGTCTTGACTTATGACTTTCCTTTGTTCTGTTACTATAAAAACTTAATGAAATTGTTACCGTGTTGGAACATGGAATTTGCAGTAACCTGAATCTGTGTTGCCAGGCTATACTCACTCACATTTGGTTCCAGAATAAATTATCTCTTTTCTCCTTTTGAGTTGAGAGTTAGGCTTTTGCGTGGACATGGCTACGGAGATGGCTCAGCTGGCACAGTGCCTCCCACAGAAGCATGAGAACCTGAGTTTGGATCCCCAGCACCCACATGGCAAAGCTGGGTGCCTAACATAAGGGGAGTGCTGAGTGACCCTAAAATGAGCAGAAATATCTTCTACTCAGTGTGCCCCTTCTTTGTCCCTACCCTCTTCTGCTTCCCTGCTGGATCCACACGAGGTTGGTGACAGCAGCTGGTAGTCAGTATACTAATACACTCCATCTTGGAGATACAAGCTACAAGTGTTTAGTCTACACCTAGAGGTCTCACGTGTGCTGCGCTGATCTGTATCTCTAGAATTTTTCAGCCTAGGGTTGAAACCCTTTACCCCATTTTTTTTTTTTTTTGCTCTTGCCATTTGATAGAGAAACACAATAATAAAAACAATATGAGTATGCTGGAGAGCTTTAGTTTTCAACTTGACACACCTGGGTAGAGGGAGCCTTGATTGGGGAATTGATTTTTGACTCCTGGGCAGGTTGTTCTTTATTGTGTAAGAAGGCAGGCTGAGCATTGATCAGGTGCAAGGCAGTAAGCAGCATTCCTCCATGGCCTGTGCTCTGACTCCTGCCTCCAGGTTCCTGCCCTGAGTTCCTACCTTGGGCTTCTTGATGAACTGTGACCCAGGAGATGTGAGCCAAATAAACCCTTTCCTCCCCAAGTTGGTATTGGTCAGAATGTTTTGTCACAGCAATGGAGAAACAAACTAGAACAGTGAGTTACACTGGCAGGCACAGAGAGAAACAAGCTGTGAAGAGAGTGCCTCTCCTGCCAGCATCTCCCAGAGAATGCACTTACCTCTAACAGACATGTAGCCATTTCCTGTCCTTCTATGTCCCGAGACATCAGAATATTCATATAATAAACATTTCTTTTTTCTTTCATTTTCTCAATCTTATTTGAGATGGCTTTCTTCCCTCTGCAGCTGGTGAGGGGAATTGCAAACACAGAAAGGGCAAGAGGACATCCCATGAACAAAGACATGGAGATGTCAACAAGCCTGGCATGTGAAGATAATTTCGGTAAGTTCAGTTCTGTTGAGCATGAGATGAGAGAGAGAAAGAGTGCTAAGGAGTGAGGTGGGGCGCTGCCATTTCAGTGCGCTCACCCCGAAGGCAGGGAAGAGTCACTGAACGTGAACATAGCCGGTGACAGAGTCACAGACACGTTAGGTCGATGATAGCTGGCAGGAGTTTCCTCAACAGTTCTTTGTTATCTCTGATTTCATCATTTGTTCCTTTACTCAGGATCTGGCAAAGCAGGTGGAACATGGAAAGTGCATTCTCTGATGAACCAGGGCAGTGTTCAAGGTGATGACTTCTGACTACTTCAGTTTGTTTTCCGTGCAGTTTATGTTTTCAACAAATATTTTTATTGATTCTTTGAGAATTTCATACAATGCATTTTGAGCATATTCAGACCCCTCCCCCATCTTTACCTACTACTTTGATTTCATGTCCTCTATTATTATTTTTCTTTTTTTTTAAAGGTCTATGGCGAGTCTGATTTGTGTCTCCCAGATGCTCTTGGGTGTGGGTCCATCCCTTAGAGTCTAGGTAACCTGCCTAGCATCACAACACTAAAGAAAACTGACTTTTCCCCTCCTACAAGATATCAGTTGTCACTAGATCATCAGTTGGGGCTGGGATTTTTTTCCACCTCTCTCATCCATGCTGGGTTTTTGTCTAGCTTGGGCTTGCATACTGTTACAAGCACTGTGGGTTCATGTGGGCAACCGCCCTGTGGTGCTGAGGCAATACAGACCTTGACTACTTGCTACTTAGCAGTCTTTCCCCCATCCCACCACGTAAAAGGACCATTGGAACAGGCACCATATTTATTTTCATCAGTGAATTCCCGATGTCCACCCGAGTACCTGAAACATGTTTTTTCAGTGAAAATTTGCTATGTGAATAAATGAGCAATAAAGAGTGATGAAACAATAGATAAACTCAAGCTGTGTTTGAGAAGCAAATAGGATTTGATGAGTTTTATAAAGTGAGTATGTGTACCAAGCACTTTTGTGGGTCCCTTACTGCTTTATAAGCACCACCTTAACTAAATGATCTTTGAATTAGTCCTCTGAAGGATGCAGGAAAAAGAAGCTTAAAAAGATCAAGTTCTGAGTTGAATCATGAAATTGGCATCTAGTAACTATGCTAGTGTAGTTAATGAGTCAGTGTGCTATAGACTGAATGAATCCCCCAAATTCATGTTGAAATCTGTTCCTCTTATGATTGCTTAGGAGATGGGGGCCTGTGGTGGTGATTTGGTCACAAAGGTGGGGATCCTGTGGTTGGCATTACAGGAAGACAAAAAGGTAAGAGTTCTTCCAACATGTGAGGAATCAATGACTCTTGTAGGAACCAGGAAGTAGGTGCTTACCAGATACCAAATCTATGGAAAACTTGGCCTTAGATTGCCCAGTCTCCAGAATTGAAATAAATATCTGTTGGTTATAAACCATCATCTTATAGTATTTGTTATAGCAAATATAGCAATCAGACCTTGACAAAATGATACCAAAGCAGTTAAATAGCCAAGTGTAAAAAGTCAACCGTGTACATGATGCCGTACACAAAAATTAATTCAAAATAGATCATATAGCCAAATATAAGATTCGAATTATAAAAACTTTAAAAGGAAGCATGTGATTTAGAATCTTTGTGATTTGGAATTAGATGGGCATGTTTTTAGATAGGACCAGAAAGCACCATGATGGTTAGTTTTGATTGTCAACTTGACGTAATCTAGAATCGCTAGGGAAAGGAGTCTCAGTGAGGCATTGTCTAGATTAGGTGGGCCTATGGGCATATTGTGGGGATTATACTTATTAGTTTTACTGAAGGAGGAAGACCTGCTGAATGTCGGGGGCACCACTGGCTGGGCAGGGGATCCCGGATTGTAGGAGTGGAGAAAGTGAGCTGGACACCAGTTACCTGCATCAGTTCACTGCTCTCTGCTCTTGACTACGTGGAATGTGGCTAGTTGCTTCAGATTCCTGCACCTGCCTAGACTTCCCCAAAATGATGGGCTGTAACCTATAACTGTAAGTCAGATAAACCCATTTTCCTCTTAAATTGCTTTTGTCAGGGTATTTGATCATAGGAACAGGAAAAGAAAGCATGATACATTAAAAAATATGTTGAACTTCATCAGAATTAAAATCCTAGCACTGAGAGGCAGAGATGGGGGCATCCCTGGAGCTAGAGGCCTGCTGGTCTAGACAATCAGTAGGCTTTAGGATCAGTGAGAGACCTGGTTGCACAAAATAAAGTAGACAGCAGAACCTCTCCTGTACTGACCTCTGGCTTCTACACACTCATGCGCAAACACACATACCTGCTTTTAAAAAAGAAGAGCAACTTTTATAGTGGAATCATGTGGCCCAGGACAAGGTGGGGAAGAAACAAAGCCAGAAGAGAGCAATGGAAGGAAGTAGAGGACACACTTGTCTAGGGGCTTGCTCATAGGAAAAGTCCACAAAAGTGAATGAAGAGGAAAGTGAGTTGTGTCTTAGTATTGTTATAGCTATTATTGTTATAGTAGGAAAAAAAAAAAACCTGTAAGAGGCTAGACAGGAGAATAATAATCTTTAACCTGGGTGGAATCTTAATTCTCTAGTTTTTCCTGGTCAATGTCCTGGTCATAGGACCACGTCTAGGAATGCTGTCTCACCTGGAGTCATGCTAAAGAGATAGGCAGAATACCTAGTGTGTTAATGAGATGGTGAACTTTTCCTGCCCAGAATCCCTACACTCTAGTGTAGTACTTCTGGGCCAGGCCATAGACACCTAACTGTTTGTAAGCATGTCTGCTTTTCTGAAACGCGTACCTCCCCTTTTTGTCTTTCTGTCGTTCTAATCATTTTCCTAATGCTTTGGACTGCCCCAAGGTTTCAGGTTTCTTTACTTTTTCTCTAAAGTTCCCTTCCCCTCCAGCCATGTGTCTGCTAGTCCATCATGTGTCTCACCTCCATGCCAAGAGGCATGGCATTATGGCTTCTCTCCTTCTCCCTTCCCAGTCTCCTTTTCAGGTCAGCTTCTGAGATTTATGGCCTAACTGCCCTGAGGATTTTTCTTTAAATTCTAATAAAATCATCCTAAAGCTTCTGTGTGAGTCCATTCTTAAATTCTTTTATGAGTGATTCTAAGAGCTCTGAACAGGGATTCCATTTTCCCCCTGTGTCATTACAGTAAGGAAAAATGGCATATGATAAGCATGTACTCGACCACTGAGCTGTGCTCCTAACCCCCTGTGGACTTTTATCTTTACAACATAATTCATTTGTATATAAATATAATCTGGCGTTTATTAGTTCATCAAATATTAAGTACCAATACACTGAATAACCCAATGACAAATAAAAATAGTTCCTGCCCTCCTCAGATTTATAGTTTAGCAGGAAAGGGAGGCAATTAAATAGTTTTGTTAATTATATCTCTGGAAGCTAGCACATTGCTTATTAAGTGCTTAATAAATATTTGTTGAATAAACACTTTTATACCGCATGTACATTTGTATATGTGTGTATGAATGTCATAACAATCTTTGATGCTGCTAATACTCATTATCTCCATTGTTTATGGATTAACTACAGTCTTCTTAATTAAAAAATAAATTCTTTCACAGTCTTTCATCTTACTTCTGCCCTCACTGGCATGATGTATGACAGTCTAAAGATTTAGGGAAAATTCTTATTCGCTTAAATTTTTGCCATGGGATTGAGAACACAAATCTGCTTTGGGAAATTGGCCTTTTCAGGCATGCTCAGGAAGAGGACATGTGCTAGCCTGGGGCTGCTGGGAAACAGCACAGGTGGTCTTGTTAAGAAGAAAGTAGAAGCTTGTTGGATAGACAAGATGCTAAAGGCAGTCACACAAAGACTAGCTTCCCTTGCCTCTGTGGCTCCAGAGGACTTCCAATGTCTGTCAGACATGTCTATATGATCAATATGATCCATACATGCTAAGGAAGCCTCTAGCACAAGATAAAACTGACCCGAGCAACTTCAGAAGTAGAGGGAGAAAGAAAGCAGGGCATGGAACGTGAGGTGGTTCTCCAAGTGTTGTGGGCAACTCAAAGAATTGCTTACCTCCTAAAATAAGACAGAAAATACAGACAGGAAAGTAACAAAAAGTTATTTGTTGTAAGACAGATATTACTATGTATTAGTCATTTTACATGTTGCTGGGACTAAGTACCTGACAATAAGCAATTTAAGAAAGGAAGGGTTTATTTTGGCTCACAGTCCTAGAGTGTATGACTGTCAGAGTCACAGCAACAGGAGCTGGAGGCGACTTGTCACACTGCATCTGTAGTCAGGAGCAGAGAGAAAATGCTGGTGCTTGGCTTTCTCCTTTTTATTCAGCCCAGGATTCCTGCCTGTGAATGGCACTGCTACAGTTAAAACAGGTCTTACCACTTCACTTAACTTAATCTAGATAATTTCTCACAGGCATACCCAGAGGCCAGCCTAACCTAGATAAGCTCGGAGGTTTGCCTCTTAGGTGATTCCTGGTCCTCTTAGGCTGACAATATTAAACATCACCCACTGGGTGCAAGAAAATGAAAGCCAAAGTCAGATGTAAATCTTAACAGCTGATGCTGAAGTGTTTTGGGGGGAGGATGTTACACTGGACAGAGATCCCCAAGGAACTTCAGTCTATAGTTTTCAAGCTCTCCCAAAAACAGAAGACAAAAGTCTGACTTGTGACAGGCAGAAAACTGTTCTACATGAAGGCAGGAGTTTGGACTTGCTGTTTCTAATTGACAAGACAATTAGAAAACTAAAGCACTAAAGCTAAAAACTATAGAAACACAAAACTTTGAGACATTAATGATCCAAGCTTTTTTGGTATTCAAATGCAAAGTCTCAAGTTGACATCCATCCTAGAATTTTTAACTTGGACACCAATCTTTCACATCAGCGACATTCTAGGGCCCTGTGCAGAACTGCGTAGCTACATTTGCAACAGTCTAGAATAACAAGGCACTCTTGAACAAAGCTGTGATTAAGAAGAAAGTAAATTACCAAGCAGAGCATAAAGAGACATGGCAGAGAGGAATATTAGAACTTTAAGATCTTGACAGACTAGAGCAGACTGAGTAACTGTGTTTAGCATTATTAACGTGACAAAAGAGGCGAAAACCACCAGGAAAACGTTAAATATTATGCATCAGAATATCCACATTTGAAAACAATAGAAAAGAAGGTCCTGAAATGAAGTCATTTAAATAAAAAATTTCACTGGAATAGTCAAAGAATAGGTAGGTCACAGCTAAAATAAGGATTGCTGAATTGGAAGACAGAGTTGGAAAACTAAAATTAGCAAAGGTAATAAGGAAACTGAAAAATAGGAGGAAAAAGTTACCAACACAGGGCAGACTGCACAGTTGAACATTAATATAATGAGAGTTCTAGAGGATGAAAGTAGAGAGAGAAGAGGCCGTGTTTCAGGGACATTCTATAGCTGGGTGATGGTGTAAGCAATGTTAATTAAGCTGTGTTTATAACAATTATAAGAAGTGCTAATAAGAATTAAGCTGGGGCTGGAGAGATGGCACAGTGGTTAAGAGCACTGACTGCTCTTGCAGAGGACCCTGATTCAGTTCGCAGCACCCACATGGCGGCTAACAACTGTCCTTAATTCTGGTTCCAGGGGAATCCGAAGCCCTCTTCTGACCTCCGCGGCATTGCACGACATGGGCGCATTCACATACATGCAGGCAATACACTCATACATGTAAAATAAAAATAATAAAATATTTTAAAAAGAATTAAGCTATGTTTCATTCTCTATTCTGATGAGTTTTGTTTTTCAATATACTTTTTGTGATAAATACAATTGCTGATCTATTTGAGTATAGACTGAATGTTGTTATGTCTATTTTTTCTTGTTCTTCTTTGAAAGACTATTTTAATTAGACATTAATATTTGTACATTTATACTTGATATGTTAAATATCAGCATTCAAATTATGCATTCTATTAGTGTCTATCAGTGGTTGAACTGTGCAGTACAGTACAGTAGCCACTGGATATATGTGCTTCTTTAAGCTAGGATGTAAGTTGACTCAAATAAAATAGAAAATTCAGTTCTTCATGTCAAATATTCAATAGGCAGGAATGTGTAGTCACAACTGTATTGTGTCTACACATGTCTGTATACTTATAATCTAATAGAGTAGTAACTGCACACATCTGTGTGTTTATAAAAATGCAGATGTGTGAAGATACTTGTGTTGGCTTGTTAATGTACAGATGTGTACAGACTCAACTTTATTACACTATAAATGTGTAGATGTGTGTAGATACTAC